TCCTAATGTTTTTATAAACGTATAACTATTTATTGATTAATATTCTGTAGGAATTTCAACAATTTAAGAATACTCTTTTCTAATATTTTCATTTTAAGGATTTTCTTCATAAATATGTTATTAAGCATAATTTGTTTTAAGAATATTTCTTAAATTGCTGCTTAAATTTTTAGAAACAGGAATAGCCTTCTTTTTTTATTAGACTAAACTATATTCTTGTTTTGGTGAAAATTATTTTTATGTCTGTTGAGTCTTTAGAGGTGAACGATTAGGAGGAATCCTACTATGATGAGATACTGATCGTCTTTAAGTATCTTCTCTATTTTTAAGGTATTTTTTTCTTAAATCGAATAATTTTGAATGTTAATAAGATGCTTAAGAGTATATCTATTAATGAGTTTTATTATAATCTTATATTAATAAATAGTGTACTTAAAGACATGTACATTGCAGTTTCATGTGGTTATTCGAATTCTTGATGATACAATTATTCTGGAGTAGGTTAGAATGTAACTTATTGTTGCTAATCAAGTCTTAGCATTTATTTAACTATAATAATAAATTCAGTTAATTATATATGTTCTTATTATATATATATATATACTATTATTATATATATATTCTCATTTCTTTGGTGGTGCTTTGGCAGCAGGTTTAGCACCTCCTGCTGCTGGTTTTGCTCCTCCTGCTGGCTTTGCTGCTGCTGCTGCAGTTTTAGCTGCTGCTGCTGCTTTAGAATCATCTGCTTCTTTTTGTTTTTTTTCTATAAAAATAATAAATAATTATATAAACCAGCTGCTTCTTGTTTGTCTAATATTTATTTCTTAGAAGTAGGGGCTACTTCATCAGGTAAGATTTTAGATATAACACCTGCAGCTACAGTCTTTCCTCCTTCTCTAAGGGCAAATCTTTGACCTTAATAGAGTGGTAAGTTGTAGGAGAGATTCAATTTGCATGTGAAATTATCACCTGGCATACCTACTTTGATGTTCTCTGGTAACTACAATGTAACAGCAACGTCGGCAGTTCTTACGAACATCTAAAATAAATAATAATTTGCATTTACTTATGGACGATAACCATTAGGGAATGGTTTTTTACGACCTCCTTCTTCTTCTTTTAAAATGTACAAATTTGATTCAATACAATTATGAGTTGTTAAAGATCCTGGCTTACATAAAACTTATCCTCTTCTAACATCATCTCTTGTTAAACCTCTGATTAAAATTCCTACATTGTCACCAGCCTCACCAAAATCAAGTTGCTTTTTGAATGTTTCGACTCCAACAATTGCAGTTTACTTTGGTTTTCCATATCCAACAATTTCAATATTATCTTTGATTGATGCTTTACCTTAATCAATAGTTCCTGTTACAACTGTTCCTCTACCAGCAATATGATATGTGCCTTCTATTGACATTAAGAATGGTTTATCAATTGGTCTTTATGGTATTTTGATCTCTTTATCCATAGTATCAAGTAATTAAAGAATAGACTTTTCTCCTATTTCAGGTTCTTAGTCATTAGATGCAAGTAATGCTGAACCTTTTACAATCTTTGCATTGTCTCCATCATATTCATATTTGCTAAGAAGTTCTCTAATTTCCATCTCTACTAATTCATGGATTTCTGGATCTTTGGCTAAATCTATCTTATTAACAAACACAATAATAGTCTCCACACCAACTTAACGACATAGAAGAACATGTTCACGTGTTTAAGCCATGCAACCATCTGTGGCTGCCACAACTAAAATGGCAGCATCCATCTTGGCAGCTCCTGTAATCATGTTTTTGACGTAATCAATATGTCCTGGACAATCTACATGACTGTAAAATAAATTATAGCATTAATTATTACCCATAATGTCTAGTTTTGGTTTAATATTCCACTGTAGCACTATTGATTGTGATACCACGAGCCTTCTCTTCAGGAGCCTTATCAATTTTACCATATTCTTAGAACTCAGCAAGTCTATTTCCTTTATGTTTTATAATTACTATTATTTAGCCAAGACTTTTGTGATGGCAGAGGTAAGTGTTGTTTTACCATGATCGATGTGTCCTATGGTACCGACATTAAGATGAGGTTTGTCTCTGACAAATTTGGCAAAGAGTGCACGAGCAGTATTATTAAGGGTGAAAGGAGCTTGTATGGAGCGTAGAGTGTGGAGCATTCTTTAATTTTAATTACGGTTGAGATTTAAAATAATATACTCTTTTGTGATAAAGATTTATTTATTTAATTAAATATGCAGAGATTATAGGGTGTCACACTCGGTTTATGGAGCAGCTTTACTCCAGTACCTTAGTATGCATTCGCCACATTGAATCTGAAGTAATTGAAGCAAAGAATGAAGTCTGTTGGATCAATTAGAAAGATTACCAAAGCCATGAAGATGGTTGCAGCTTCTAAGATGAAATAAGATGTTTAGAGATTAGAGAATGGAAAACACTTTGGAATACGTTCAATCTAAGATTTATTTGCCTAAGAAACTTATCTTTAGAAGAAGCAATTAACATTTAAGATCAATAAGACTTTAATTGTTCCAATTACATCTGATAAAGGACTTTGTGGTGGCATCAATTCATCAATCATTAGAGAAACAAGAAGCATTGTTAGATAAAATCGTAATGCTTATAAATTATTCTTGGTTGGAGAGAAGGTAAAAAATATCATTTTTACATTAAGTCCTTGGGGGCCTTATAAAGAGCCTTCCCTGAATTGCTCACTCAAGCTATAACAGCTATTTAAACACCAATCAATTTTGCTAATAGTTCCTCTATTGCACATCAAATACAACTCAATGTTACAGAAGATATTGATTAAATTTCTGTCATTTTCAATTAATTTAAGAATGTTGTTTAATAAGTTGTTAAGCGTGTTGATTTACTCAATAGAAAGAATTTCATTGCTTAATTTAGATTGGTTACTAAATATGATACAGCAGAACCTGAAAAGGAATTCGTACAGAATTATATGTATGAATACTATGTAGCAACAGCATTTTATCATGCTATGTTGAATAATTTTGCAAGTGAAACATCTTCTAGAATGAATGCTATGGAAAATGCTTCTAAAAATGCAGGAGAAATGCTTGATAAATTGACTCTTGAATACAATAAGGTTAGATAAGCTAAAATTACCGTAGAGTTATGTGAAATTATTTCAGGAGCCTCAGCTGTCTGAAAATCATAAATACATCTATAAATAAAAACATTATATATTTATTTTATCTCTATTATCAAGTCTAATCTATATTAAAATAATACTTTATTTTTCATAAGATGAATTCACATTTAATTTTATATTATACATATATTTATATACATCATTTACGACAACCTTATATAATACACACAAATCCTTTAGTTTCTGGATATTATTTTAAATATTGCTTATTTTTCTATAAATTTTCATTCATCTCTATGATATATCCATCCTGACCAGCCTATACTTCATATACTTCTCCGTTCTCCAAATGTACCTTCAACATCACTGTATTACTCTTAACCTTCAACCCTCCCTTCTTCTTCTTTCCTTTTACTAATTATTCTTTCTAAGTAAACTCAATCTCCTTAATATCACTATCACTCTTCACTATTGGGTGATTTTTATTTATTCCACACAAATATAAACGATTTGAATGCTAAAATACATATTAATGTTCTGAATATGATTTAACAAAGTATCTATCAGTATATTCACTTAATCTTGCTTATACATTTAATGGAATCATTAAATCCTCATCTTGCTCCTACCCTTATTATTATTATTGTTCCTCTATTTATTGCATTTAATTTAATTAACTATGAATATATTTATATATAATTATTAGTAAATAAATATATCAATCTTAAACCATTCTAATTTAACTTGGTAATTAACTCTAATATAAACTCTAATTTCCATATTAACTCATTATCAAACTTTTCTGTAACTCATTATTATCATCCAACCATCCCATTCTCTTTCCCTTTTCCCAAATTCCTTATTTAATAGTACCATCTTAAAATACCATAGTTCCTCTTCCATTCTATAATCCTTCTGCAAAGCTTCCTTCATATCTCTTACCATCTGCCCAAGTATATACTCCAAACCCATCCTTTTTATCATTCTTAAATTCTCCTTAATATGATTTACCATCTGGCCATTTGTATACTCCATATCCATGCATAAAACCATTAAGAAATTATCCTTCATATTATCTTCCATTAGCCCATATATATGATCCTTAACCATTGAATTAATTCTATGCCCATTCCCCTTAATATGAAGTTCCATCAGCCCAATAATAATTTCCTTCCCCATGTTTCATTCCATTTACATAATTACCTTCATATCTTGATCCATCAGGCCACTCTTATTTCCCAAATCCATGTTATACATCTTCTTTCCATTCTCCTTCATACTTTCCATTCAGTTTGTAATAAAAAGTTCCAAATCCCTCTGCTTATCCTTGATTCCATTCTCCTTCATAAATATCTCCATCAGCATGAGTAAATTTCCCTCTACCATGAGGTACATTATTATGAAATTGTCCTTCATACCTTGCTCCATCTGGCCCTTTTAAAATTTTATAATTTTTATACATTCTTGTATTCCATGACCTTCTCGTATTGTTCCTTTCCATTATCCAGTATAGAGAACTCCATCTGGAAACTAATAAGTTGGTCGTTCTTCTATTTTATCTTCAATTTCAATTGGACCCTAATATTTCTATATTGGGATTGATTGTTAGGGTCTATAGCTCATTCTTACAGATTAAACAAAGTCTTCTGATGGTCTATCAGTTAATTCAATATTTTCTGTATATAATTCATTATTTGTAGTATCAAAAATAACTTCTGCTTTTGAACAATGATCTATTGCAGTACATTGATTTCCCATTAATAATAATTAATAATAAAATTTACATTATAAAATAGTATGAAAATTGAATTAAATTTTATTAAGATTAATAACATAGTATAATTTATTGAAATAAATGAAAAATAATTTCATATGATTTTCAAAAAAGAACTGTCAAATACATTACTTGTTAAACCAAAAATAAAATAAAGTCCCTAAACATTTTCATTTATAATTAAATTCTAATAAAAAAAAATAAAAAATACAAATATTTTGTTTTTTGCTGTTTTATTAATCCATGTTATTTTTCTCTCTCTCATATTTACTTCTACAATAATAATATCACCAAAACCAATTCCACAAAATTTTTAGTCAGAATTCTTAAAATCTTTTGGATATGTTGTTATAACTCCTTCATGATTTAAAATATATGCACTTGATATATGTAAAATTAAATATACCCATCTAAAATTGCTTCATAAGGTTTCATTTATTGAAAAGTTATATTTTATAAACAAACACCAATTGATACAGATTCACCACATTAAACTTTAATTCTAGCAAATGAATTTTCTGTTATCAATTCATTACAAATAACATATCTTGTTTATATGAAAATAGATGAACTTTTTGCTTCTTTACCTTGATAACTAATTAAGATATCTTCATGCTTATTTTTATTTGAGAATGTAAAGTTTAATTATTATTTTTAAATAGGAATCACTATAGAATCAATTTATATTATTCTTTCTTCAGAATATCCTTATTGAGATATACAATCAATAGATCCTGAAAATGAATCATTCTTTATTTAGTATTAACCTTTTTAAAATATATAAATACCTCTTGAAGATTTCAATTATTATATTTCTAATTTAAGTGGAGGAATCAAAGAAGCAAGTTCAGATACTTTATACATAATTGATTTTTCTAATTAATCTATTATAATTAAGTGTTTTATTTCCTTAGTTAGATTCTAATAACTCTAATTTTCAACTTATTCATCAATTATCACTAATTCACTAATGAAATCTGATAATAACTTTGCGCATTATTATAATTAATTAATATTTTCTTTAAATATATTAAAAGTCTATTCTTTTCTTTTTTTCCAATTAATAAAATCCTTGAAATTCATTATATCATTTATATGATTTTGATGAAACATTTTAAAGCAATAAAAACAACACAATCCTTATTTAGAACAAACATTATTTAAGCAAACCCCTATTATTTCAGATTATTGGTGATCACCTTCTTAACAAAATAGCATATCTGTTAATTAAAAATTAAAAAAATAAAATTATATTATTAAATTTCTTTATTATTATCCATAATAATTCTAAAATCTAAGAATTATTCTCTCTACTTTATTTAAGTTTATGAATCCAAAAATTTAAAAAAAGATAGACTAAATCATAAGGTAATTATGATAAAAGATTTAGAAGAATTTATTTTAGACAATCTAAATTGTAATTTGAGAATATTATATAAACTTTTTGTAAATATATTTTAAATTTGTATANTTTTGCTGTTTTATTAATCCATGTTATTTTTCTCTCTCTCATATTTACTTCTACAATAATAATATCACCAAAACCAATTCCACAAAATTTTTAGTCAGAATTCTTAAAATCTTTTGGATATGTTGTTATAACTCCTTCATGATTTAAAATATATGCACTTGATATATGTAAAATTAAATATACCCATCTAAAATTGCTTCATAAGGTTTCATTTATTGAAAAGTTATATTTTATAAACAAACACCAATTGATACAGATTCACCACATTAAACTTTAATTCTAGCAAATGAATTTTCTGTTATCAATTCATTACAAATAACATATCTTGTTTATATGAAAATAGATGAACTTTTTGCTTCTTTACCTTGATAACTAATTAAGATATCTTCATGCTTATTTTTATTTGAGAATGTAAAGTTTAATTATTATTTTTAAATAGGAATCACTATAGAATCAATTTATATTATTCTTTCTTCAGAATATCCTTATTGAGATATACAATCAATAGATCCTGAAAATGAATCATTCTTTATTTAGTATTAACCTTTTTAAAATATATAAATACCTCTTGAAGATTTCAATTATTATATTTCTAATTTAAGTGGAGGAATCAAAGAAGCAAGTTCAGATACTTTATACATAATTGATTTTTCTAATTAATCTATTATAATTAAGTGTTTTATTTCCTTAGTTAGATTCTAATAACTCTAATTTTCAACTTATTCATCAATTATCACTAATTCACTAATGAAATCTGATAATAACTTTGCGCATTATTATAATTAATTAATATTTTCTTTAAATATATTAAAAGTCTATTCTTTTCTTTTTTTCCAATTAATAAAATCCTTGAAATTCATTATATCATTTATATGATTTTGATGAAACATTTTAAAGCAATAAAAACAACACAATCCTTATTTAGAACAAACATTATTTAAGCAAACCCCTATTATTTCAGATTATTGGTGATCACCTTCTTAACAAAATAGCATATCTGTTAATTAAAAATTAAAAAAATAAAATTATATTATTAAATTTCTTTATTATTATCCATAATAATTCTAAAATCTAAGAATTATTCTCTCTACTTTATTTAAGTTTATGAATCCAAAAATTTAAAAAAAGATAGACTAAATCATAAGGTAATTATGATAAAAGATTTAGAAGAATTTATTTTAGACAATCTAAATTGTAATTTGAGAATATTATATAAACTTTTTGTAAATATATTTTAAATTTGTATATAAAAGTATTATTAATTATGTAAAAATTAAAAGTTTCTATATTATTATATATAAGAACAATAGTTATTTCTTCAACTTTACAAATTAATCATTCTTTACAATAGGCTACAATTTATATTAAATATTAAAATAATATCAAATATGAAAATAATATTAAATATGAAAATGCTAAGTTAGAGTATGATAAGTTCAATAAGCATGGTTTTCAATTATCTTATGAGATTTATGGGGATTCTATTAATAGGATTCTTTATGGTTATATATTATTTTAATGTTTATTCATTCATATATGACACTTTACTATTATACTATTTGGTTTACAGTAATAAGTTACTCATTAGTATATTAATGTTAATCGGGTTAATTGAAGGTAAATAGTTTGATAATTTAGCATTTAATGTGATTTTCAATTATAGTTTAGCAATAATAATATCTCCAGGATTGACATCTTAAATATTTATGAAAACTATTGATAAAAAGGAAAATCCATTCATTTATGATCCAATTAAATCTTAATTCAATAAAACATAATAAGCTATAAAATTGGATCAAAGTACTTTGAAATATTGTGATAAATGTTGTTTACCAAAACCTTAGAGAACACATCATTGTAGTATATGTAATAAATGTGTATTAAAAATGGATCATCATTGTCCTTGGATTGGATAATGTGTTGGATACTAGAATCATCGATTCTTTATTTTATTCATAACTCATCTAATGATAGGAACATTTTTTGTTTCAATTTTAAATTTAAATATAGTTATGAGGTATAAATTTAAATGGAAATTTAGTAATAAATTTGAAGAGTATAGAGTTCTATAATCAAAAGCATTTTCAATAATTTAACCACTAAATATTTCTTTATGTTTAATGACATCAGCATTTTCAGTTTGGACTTGGTATTTGGCAATGAATGGAATGACTACAATAGAATTTTGTGATAAGAATCATGGATTTAGAAAGAGTAAGATAATTCAGAATTTATAATAAATCTTTGGAGATGTTGACAATTATATAGAGATATTCTTACCAAGTGTTAGAGATTTACCATCAAATGGAGTAATTTGGTATGATACTAAAATGGAATATTAAAAGATACTAAATGAATTATAGGAGGTAGATGAAGAAGATAATATTGGTTGATTTTTATAATGAAAGTTTATTAATTTAATTTTTGGAGCCAAAATGGCAGCAAATTAAGATTAGATATTTGATGAATAATCATAAGAAGCTACAATTAATGAAGAATATAAAATATGGAAAAAGAATGCTCCATTTCTATATGATTTAGCAATTAGTCATCCAGTTGAGTGGCCCTCTTTGACTGTATAATGGCTTCCAAAGAAAGAAACACCACCTGGTTAAGATTATTCAATTCATAAATTGATAATTGGAACAAATACTGCGGATAATGAGATGAATTCATTGATGATTGCTAAAGTATAGAAAACTAATAAATATTTAAGGTACGTTTGCCAAGAGATTCTGATGTTTAATAAGACCCTTCAGAATATAAATAGAATGAACCAAGTGGTATAGGTAAAGCAACTGGGGAGAGTAGAATAGAAATTGATGTAAGAATAAACCATGAAGGAGAAGTAAATAGAGCAAGGTACATGCCATAAAAATCAAATATTATTGCTACTTTCACACCTAAAGGAGAAATTCATATATTTGATTATATAAAACATCCATCATAGCCATCCAACAATTTAGTCAAACCTGATTTGAAATTAATAGGACATTAAAAAGAAGGGTATATATAATATATCAAATTTATTATAGATTTGGTATGTCTTGGAGTGAATAGAAATTGGGACATCTGTTAACAGGAGATTATGATGGTAAATTATGTATTTGGGATGTTGAAACTAATGCACAAGAACCAAAATAAACATTTTAAGCAAATAATTTATAAATTGAAGATGTATGTTGGCATAGATATCATCCAGATATATTTGGTTCATGTGGAGATGATAGACATGTGAGAATGTAATAATAATAATTATTATTAAAAATTAGTTGGGATACACGTAAACCATAACCATTAAGTGATATTTAAACACATGCTGGTGATATATATTGTTTAGATTTTAATCATTTTAATGAATACTTTTTTATTACTGGATCAGAAGACAAAAGAATTAATCTATTTGATATGAGAAATACTGAAAAACCACTTCATACATTTGAAAGTCATGGTGATTAAATCTTATCTTTGAAATGGTCACCACATAATATGAAAATATTTGTTAGTAGTTCAGCAGATAGAAGATGTATGATTTGGGATTTTGGTAGATGTGGAAGATCATAAACACCAGAAGAAGCATAAGATGGACCACCTGAATTATTAGTAATATTTATCTTAATTCAATATAGTTTGTCCATGGAGGACACAGATCTAAGGTTTCTGATTTAGATTGGAATCTTAATGAAAAATATATCATTTCTAGTGTTGAAGATAATAATATTTTATAAGTTTGGTAATTAGGAGCCCATATTTATTAAGAATGATTTGATTTATATCTATATATATATATATTCAGTATTATTATCACAGTTTTTCTTGTTATATCTATCTTCCTGTGGGTGGTTTTTATTCTAATGGGTTTAAATTTGAAACTTTAATAAAATATTAATTTAATTACTTTTTTTAATTAAAGGTGGAGTAATTTAAGATGCATTTTAATTATTATTTTAATTATTATTGATATTTATTGCATCACATTAATTGTTAAAATTTGGGACTGTACTACCTCTATTATCAATTGGATTCAAAATAATCTTTTAATTAGTTCTCCTCTATTATTATTATAATTATAATTCATCTTTTTAATTTCTATTGTTTTTTCCTTCATAAAGTTCTAAAAGTTATTAATTTAATTTAGTTTTTTCTACAATACTCATTCCCTTATTATCAGTATTTCCATTCATTCTGGGTTATGATTCCCCTAATTTTAATTTATATTAATACCTTTCCTTTATCTACCAGGTGATACAATTCTAGTGTTTTCTACATCTCTATAACTTGATGGTAATGCTCTTTAATGTATTTCAACAAGTCTATCTTATTTTTCTACATCAATTAAATCCATAGCTTTTTAATAAGGTAGATTTGGAAAGTTGACTTTTTTTGCTTTAATATTAAATGGAGGTATTTTATATTCTTATGAATCATCATCCCATTCACAATTATTAGTAATTTTATCTATATCTTCTTGTAATAGAATCATTTTCAAAATTCCAGAATATAATTTAATTTCTTTTGATTATGATCTAATAGTATCTAAAAATTCTTCTTTATCATATTCAAAATCTTATTTCATTTCATTTTATTCTTATTATTACTATTCATATTTATTTTTTAAATATTTAACTAATTTTCTTAATTTTTCAACTTCATCTTATACATTATTATATTTATTTTCAATTTCAAGCATTTCCTTTTCTTTTTATTCTTATTGAATTTTCAATTATTCATGTTCCTTTTTTTATTATTCTATAGCTTATTACATTTTCTTATATTTATTTTTATCATCATCTGTTCCTTTACCACCTTTAATCATCATTTATTCCTTTTCTTTTAATAATTCTTCTAATCTTTATCTTGCTAATCTCTCTTATTCAGCTTATTCACTTTTTTATTTCATTTCATTTTCATATCTTTATTTCTCCTATAATAATTAATTATTAATCTCCTTGAATTAATTTATTTATTCATTATGATTATTATTAAGATTATTTAATTTTCCATTATTATCAACATTCTAACGATCTCCATTGTCTTAATTTTATTTCATTAATAATTCTCTTAATTTCTTAATTTCTTCAGCTTATTCTTTTAACAAAGCATCTTTAGGATCTTCATTTACTTTTGGTTGATTTTTAATCATTTTAGCTCTAGATGCATATCTTAAACTTGATAATGTCTCATCATAATTAAAATCAGATGGAGAAATGGCAGTAATCATAATAGTCTTAGTATTACCACCTAATGAATCCTATAATAATCTTGTTAATTTAGAATCCCTGTATGGAATATGTTATGTTTTACCATCTACTAATGCTGAAATCACATTTCCTAATGCAGATAATGATAAATTAATTTTTGTTGCTTCTTTTAATCTATCTCCTGTAGCTTAAGTTTTAGATTATCTTTCACTTCCTGCTAAATCTACTAAGTTTAATTTTCCAGCAGTAATACGTTCATTTCCTTTTTCATCATTCATTGAACATTCAATATAAACTGTAAAAATACAATGACTTCTACTTGATTCCTTATTCATTGCTGTAGCTCCAACTGATCTATTCTATGCTCCTAATGCCATATATTTGTCCATCTCTTACAATGTTTTAACAATAGGAATATTCAAATCCTTCACATAAACTCCTTATTATCCTTCTTTTAATTCATATCTTTATTTAACATCTTTACTCAATAAATCATGTATTTCTTCATTGTAAATTTCAATATATGAACATCTCAATAAGAATTTCTTATTTGAATCAGAATTATTGTTGATAATATTGATTATCTATTCAAATGTTCTTGGTATAATTCCTTTAATGTTATCCTAAGATTTATGTGATTGAATATACATTTTATGGATCTCCAATCATAGTAAATGTCTTTCCACAACCTAAATAATAATACATATTGTATACCAGTTTAACCATAAGCAAAGATTGTTCCGTTGTACCCTTCAGCCACAGACTCTACTAAATTAAATGCAGTCTATTAATATATTTAGAGTTGAGGTGTATCTGGTCCAAATACATAATCATATGTAAATTATTTTTGATCATTGTCTTAATTCTAGTAATACAATAAATTTTGCATTAATACTCTAAAGAGTTCTACAGAATTTGTACTTTCATTAACATTTACACATGGCTTACTACCATTGTCTCTTTCCTTTTGATTAAAAGGTCTGACTCTAACTATAACCTTCACACATTCAGCTGGCATAACAATATAACGATTGTAAAAATTAATTAATATAATAATGTTCCTTTAATAGTCTTCTTTAGAAAGATCAAGATAATATAGACAAAAGTATCAGATGTCTGTAGAATTGTTGTATACTCCAAAAAGATTGAGTTTAGAGAGATAAATACCTAGATATCTTTAGAATGTAGATATAAAACTAATAGCAGTAAGTATTAAGGGAATTTATCATTACCTCTTTTGCCTCCTTTGAAAAATATCAGTCAGATAGAATTTAAAGAATTGGTTTATAGTTGAGAAGTGGAGAAGTGCCTCTTTTGAAAAACATGATGATGTGACGAAAATAAATTAAGATGCTGCTATTTTGTGTCCAAAGAATTTAGAAAAGTTTACAATATTTTTATCAGTAGTATGGGTTATAAATTCTTTGCTGTATGTGATGGACATGGATAATATGTTCATATGGTTTCCAATTAAATTAAATAATAATTGCCAAAACATCTAGGATAATATTTGAAAGAGTTAGGTTATATAGAGAATCAAATTTTAAAAGCTTTTGAAATAACAAACAAAGAATTGTGTTATTCTGAAATTGATACAAACCTATCTGGATCAACAACTGTATCTTTACTTATTATAAAAGATATTGTATATTAAAAAATAAAATAGATATACTCTGCAAATGTTGGTGATTCTAGAGCTATTATGTGTAAATTTGATAATGGATGGACAGTAATAGAATTGAGTAGAGATCATAAACCAGAGGATCCATAAAAAAAAAAAAAGGATTTTGGATGCAGGTGGAAGAGTTGAATAATAAAAGGGTTGTGAATCTATTGTTATCAATAGATTATCATTGAAATGGGATAGGACCAGATAGAGTTTGGTTGTCTTATATCTAAGCTCCTGGATTGGCTATGACTAGGTCTTTCGGTGATAAAGTTGGTGTTTAAGCTGGAGTTATTGCTGAACCTGAAATCTAATAATTCATTATTAGCGTATATGATCAATTTATTATTATTGCATCAGATGGAGTGTGGGAATATAAGAGTAATGAAGAGGTAAATAAGGAATCAATTAGGTTATGAGTGTTGTGATTCAAATTTTGGAAAAAGATGAACCTAACCAAGCAGCTAAATGTGTTGTAATTGAAGCAACTTGAGCATGGAGAAGAGTATTAGTTTTATACTTATTTGAAGAACAGTTTAGCAAAGGACGATATTACTTTGAATAATTATATTCTTATAAAAATGAAAATTAATCCTAAAACATCTCAAAGTATTAATGTCTTAAAATCTATTCCTTAATGAAAATAATCTTAATACAGCTAATGAAATTGAATAATATATTAAGACACTTTTACAATTTCAGGTTTCTTGTCAGAAATCTTCAGAATATATATAAGCAAATGCTGCTCAAAAAATAATTGGTTTCAAGGAGAAAAGTAATGCAATAATCACATTATCAATAAGAATAAGAAATTTATAGAACTCATTTTGAAGAATTTAATTAATTCTACTAATTTTGGGATGAGAAGATGTAAAAATATATTGATGAAGCTTCATCTTTAGAATAGGAATTATTAAACAAAAAGTTTATGAGGAATTAGAAAGAACTCTCCCCTAAAAGCATAAAGAATCTTATGACATCCTCAATATCAAAAAAAAAGAGAAGAATATTTGGCCAAATAAAAGAAGTATCCATTTTTATTGTTATATTGAGGTTTTGAAAATTATAAATTGAAGATGTTGATTATTAGAAATATTAATTAGAAAGTACTAATAAAATAAATACTTAATTAAAATAATTGTGAATGAGACATAAAAATCAAATCAATACTCTCTAATAAAGAATCAAAGGAGGATAAGATGAATAAAATAAAATATGTAGTCTCGATCTCGAAATATATAATTATATTTTATTAATAATTTAGATTATTTTAAAAATATCAAAAAGAATTAAAAATAGAATAAAAAATAGATAGATTAGCTTTTGAAGGATAATTAAAAAATAAAGGTAGTTCCAATTAAAGAGTTTATATGAAATAAATGTGACTTTGTATGTTCATTAAGAAAATTATAATTATAAATTTTTATTATATTAATATTCTAATTTAAATAAATAATTCAACAAAATGACTGATACTGGTTTTGAATGTTCCCTTTGTATGAAAATTGCCATTTCAGCTTAAATATGTGAAAAGTGTGGACTTATGTATTGTAAATAGTGTCTCGAAGAAATATTTGGTTAAAATTATGAATGTGTTTAGTGCCAATCCAAAAAATTTAAACCTATTGAATAATCACCTTTGAAAGAAGCTTATGTAGAAATTTTCTCTAAATCTTAATTAATATTATAAAAGAAAATTGATAAACCTCCTCCAAATCCTCCAGTATTAGAATAATTAAAATAATCAATATTTTTAAAAGAAAAATGTCTAAACTTTGATAATTGTCATTAAAATATCAATTAAATGTTCTAAACTTAATAGGTATGTAGTTTAGAATGTTAATTTTTTATTAAAATAGTATCGTTATTTGAATAATAAGACTATTCTAATATTAGAAAAGAAATAATTAATATAGAAAATCATTAATCTATTAAAAATTAATAATCAATTCAATAGATAGGATTACCTTAATTTGGTATTGGAGTTACACAATTTACATTTAATAGATTTGGTTAAGGAATACAAATAAATTAATCATAAATACTATTAATTGAAGAAGAATATACATTTAAAACTGTGACTAGTACTGTTGGATTATATAATGGAATTTATTTCTGGAAAATTATTCCATTAGCAATCACAAAAAATGAAATGAAAATAGGAATTTCAACTTCTGATAAATATGATTTAAAAACAGCTTTTTCTGATTACAATTTCGGATATGCCTTTTATACAGTTGGTTAATTTAGAAATGGAAGTAATTCTAATGTAATATTAATAATTAAATATTTAGGGATTTGAATATGGTGTTAAATTTATAAATACTGGAGAAGTAGGAGTTTTACTAGATATGAATAGGGGAGTACTGGCATTTTCATATAATGGCAATTTTTTAGGAAAAGCTTTATGTTCAGAGTAACTTAAAAAAGGACCTATATATCCCTGTGTTGCATTACTTCATCAAGCAGGATTTGAATATTAATGCGGTATACCAATTCCATAAAATTTACTTGAACAGTTTTTAAGATGATATATTTATATAGAATTAATTCATTTAATTAATTAAGTCAAATATTATATTTAATTGGAATCTAAAGGATGATTATCTTTAGTCAATTTAGCCTTATTTTTAACAAAAACTCTGCTTGGAGACTAAAAAGTTTTATCTAATTGTAAAGTTTAATGAGATGATTATCTAGAATTTGTAGTTTTAGGAGAAGGCAATCCTATAATTAAAATTGATAATAATACTTGATGCTAAACTACATAATATAGCTTATTAATCCTTAAACATTTATTCAAATTATTCTTTATATTGTTTTTAAAAGAAGTTTGCCTTTTATTTAATTAAATTGATCAAATTATCTAATTAAGATTATGATTCTCCATAAGCCTTATCACATAATTTATAATATAATCCTTATATAGTAATATTAATATCAGATGATAAATCATCTGGAGCAATGTAATAACAAATGTATGATATTATTTATACAAAGAAATTCATCCAATTTTATTCTTCTTTTATCATTTAACTAAAATAATGATTAATAATATATACTTTTTTAATTCTTTTATTTTATTTTGAATAGTATCTTTTAATTTATCATTTTCAGTTTAGAGTCTTCTTGTTTCAGTATTAATAGATTATTAATTATTATTACTCATTAATTTTGGAATTTCTTGTTATAATTTTTACATATCTTATATTAAATTAGAAAATTGCTATTCTTTAAATTCTAAAACTTAATTCACATCTTATAATTTAGTTTATAATAGATTATTTATGTTTTCTAATTCAATAATGTACATTTCTTATTCATGTATATCAAATTATGATTATTATAATTAATTAGCTATTTATGATTTCTCTTCTTATAATTCTTTAAGATATGATCTTAATTCTATTTCAGTACTCTATTATCGATCATAGAGAGTTGAAAGCTTTTATAAATTTTTAATATTTTCTTCATGATAATCTTATGGTTGATATTCATATTATGATTCATTATGAATACTTTAATCTCCATTCATTCCTATTATATCTTTAATTATTTGATATAATTGAACTTATTAAGGATTAGTTGAATTCTTAATTTATAATTATCTTTAAGTGTAATATTCTTATAATTATTCTATTCTACTTTCTAAATAATCATTTTCTAATTGTAATTCTTTTATTTATTTCTTTTATATTTTATTTTCTTTATTCATATCTTCCAATTATAATTTACTCTAAAATACATAATGTTAAGATTTTTTTTTAATTGTTTTAGTTTTCTCTCTCTCTTATTTTAAAAGTGTTGAAGTAGTTGAAATAAAACTTTATTATAATTTATCTATTGTTTCTAAAAAGTTCTTTTTAGATCCTTCCAAATTCTAGATTTATTAATTAATAAATAATACTTTTCTAATAAGATTAATATCCACACTATATTGTTCAATTATATATTATTAATTTTAGTTTTTAACACTTTTTTCTTTATTTATCAATAAATTTAAAATTTTAGCATATAATAATTAATCCTCTTTATTTTCTGCTAATAATTCTAATCTAATTCCATTTTTAGCTTCAATTGCTAAAAAACAATCTTATTCAGCATTTTATGGTAGAATAAAATTCTTCTTTATCAATTTATATCTTAATTATATATATATATTATTACTTATTGTAATTTGTATGAATCTATATTATTTAATCTATTGGAATAGTTTATTTGGCTGATGGAAATTTAGAAGTTTTTGATTTCCAACAAATAGAATCTAAAAATGAACAATAAAATATAGTTCTTTAATCCCATTTCTTACAATTAGAACGAGAAAACTTGATGAATTAAGTACCTTTCATTAATTGTTAAAATTCTTTAAATTTTGCTTCTGTTTTTTACTGCAAATTCATACATACATCAAATTATGTTGCTATCTAAATTATTTAATTGTCAATATCCTTTATATCTAACCATATTCATAAATTAAACCTTTTTCTAATTTTTAGACAATCAAATTATCTATCTTATAAGCTTATTGCCATTAACGCAAATCATTTTCTAATGAGTGTTCTAATATACTACTACGATCTAAACATTATGAATCCACTGAAAAATCATTTACAACTTTGATTTCAGAGATTTTTGACATTTCTCAAATTATTCACAATTCAATACTCTAATCTGAAGTTTATGATTTTGTATGGGTGGAATCTATGATAGTGTCATCTTTATATCTAATTGCTTGATGCCTGTATAAATTGTGTTACTTATTGGGACATCTTTGTTAGTTCATATTTAAATTTTGAATTTAACGAATATTATCTATAATATTTTTATTAAAATACACAAATAATACAAATCAAATATGTAAACTTCATTCTTCAAAAGATAAATAATAAATATATTATAAGAATATTCTATAAATATAAGATATTTCATATTTTGTTGTTAACTTTATTTATGGATTTGTATTTATTAATATAAAAGAAATCTTTATTAAGGATATCTAAACTTTTTGATCTTATTTATATAAATTATTCAGATTTATTCAATGATTTAAGATAAACCTTAAAAAAGGATATTTTAATTAATATCTTAGATTAGATATAAATTATTCATAAATTTAATTAAATCTTTTTTACTTATGATATTTTATTTTATCATACAATTAGTCTAACATTTTTAATTGTATTTTGATTCATATATCATAACACTTTAAGTTTACAATAATATAGTTTAATAATTATTGATATACATATAAATATTAATTAAAAAATATTCAGATTTGCTTTAATTGGTTTTTGATTTTGTTTGATTGTTCTAATATCATATTATATTTCTCATTCATTCTTTGTAGTCGCTCTAATTTTAATACAATTTCTTACAATTTAAATCCTCCTTAGAATTTTGCAATACATCCTTCTTGACATTCTTTTCTTCTTAAGATTAAGATCTAGTAGGTATTTTAACAGGACGAGTAGCAGAAGCTTATTTAGGTGAAGTTAATGGAGTAAACTTTGAACTTTAAGAAGTATTCAATTTTCTACTTGTATTACTACTAATTTATGGTTTGAATGTGCATTATTCCATCTCTTTACGTTATTTCTCTTTATCTGCAACTTTTTTCATTTATTATCTCTTTTCATATGTTGATTTTAGATCATCTTTTAAACAAGTACTTTATTTTATTTACTAAACTCTTGGGGAAATATTAATTGATTGTACAAGAGATTATTGTTTTTTCTCTTTTTCTTTTACAATTTCTTTATCTAATTAAGCAATCTCATTCAATAATTATTACTTTTTACTTTATAATTATTAATGGAAAGATTGCTATAAGATATTTGAATTTGTAGGATTTACTTAAGATTATTTAGTATTATTATTATTTTCAATTATTTTGCTTACTTTAGGATGAGGCTTAGGAACAGTTTGAATTGGTTAATCTATTGATTTTCTTCTAAAAGTCTAAGATGTTCTTGATATATCTATTTATTAAGATTAAGCAGTTGAATAATCTAATTATTATTTCTTTAATGCACTTTTTAAAGTAGGTTTGCTTGAATCTATTCTCTTTTTTGGTTTAAATTTCCCACTATTTTTTGTCCTCTTAATTTATTCTTTAATAACTTTTTATCTTTCGCAATAAGCTTTCTCTGCTTCTTCAGGAGGCATTTAACTATATGTATAAGTTTTATGTGTTTTCTCTTCTTCAATAATAGGAGCATTTTTAACAGTTGAGTAAGAATTTCCAACATTAAATAATCCACTATCTGAGTATATGTTAATAATTTTTGAAGGTGATTGCTCATTCTCATCTGTAGATTTGAGTGGAGAGTTTGCAACAATAAAGTTTTGTGTTTAAGAATTAGATGACTTCTTTTTTTTAAATGTCAATGCTGATCCGTTTGTAAAGGCTGAACTAGCCACTTTAATCAACGGAGAAGCTGACATTTGAATTAATTAATTTAATTATTATATATCAAAATATCAACTACTATTAAAAATTATCAAATCCTTTTCAATCAGAATATTATTCTCTTTTGTATTACATTTATTTTATAATCCTCTCTCTATTTTTCTATTTTTTATATATATATAATTTAAGAATCAAACCAAAAATATGTCTAAAATAATTAATTAAAACTTAAAAATATCCTATCCATATTTGAAGTATTTGATTATCCTTTTAGACTCTAGTTTAAAATTTAAAATATTGACTTTTCAAGTTAAGTATAGATTAAACTAAATCAATATTAATATTGAAATGTTGTATTAGCAAAGCATTCATAACAAATTTTATTCTATCAAAATAATTATAAATACTGTGGAATACATTAATATGAGCATTATTATAATAAATTTCTTTGGTTTCTTGACAAATACTATAAGTTTTGATGATGGTTTATATGATGAAGTTATTAACAATTCAAGATACATATAAATTGGCATAATTAATAATACAATTAATAAAACATAAGGATTATAATAAGTGTTGTTTTATGAAATATTTGATAAAGAATATTAATATTACATAAATTAGTATTATATAGACTTTTATTTTGAGGATAAATAAATTCTGAATTTGAATTATGTCTTAGCATTCTCTAATCATAATTTAATTGATATCTATTGAAGTTACATATTATTTTATTCATATTCTCTATTATCATTAAAGATAATAAAGGTTATAAATATTCCTAATTCAAGATTTATTAATGATAAACAAAAATAAAAATACTTAAAATTAAATAATTAATCATAATCTAGTTTATAAATACATATATAGATTATTTGAAGTGTTAAGTCAATAATAATTTTAGATTATATCACATTCCAATTTTTTATTGTATCATCAAATTTTTATAAAATAATCATCTTTAAAAGATCAATTAAGTAATAATTTGTGTTATCACTTACCGAATTACTCTTAAAAAATAAAAATGTGTTTGTTTTAATCATTAAAGTAATAAGATTTTTTTTATTAAATTCAATAAATAAAAATTAATTTATCAATACGTATATAAACTTTTTATTATTTAAAATAAATTAAATGTTACAAACATTATAAAATGAGCTAAATACTTTACAAACCAAAGGAAAATAGTAAGAATTAAGGATAGAGAATTTATACATTAATTTTAATGAAATCTATCAATTATAAAATAATTTGAACAATCCAACCTCAACCAAACATAATATGCTAAATAAAGTGAGACCTGAAGTTTTTCATTAAATATTAATATTTTTAGATACTAAATAATTATTATAATTTAGATTAATCAGCTCAAGAGCAAATCAAGTTGTAAAATTAATGTTTCCAAAATAAATAAATATTGTTTAATAATTAATAAATGATCAATAAAATGAATTATAATTGAAGATCTAAAGTGCAGAAGAAATAGCAAAAGATTAAAATTATCAATAATTGTTTAATACAGCATTAAATGGATTATAATAACTCAATAAAGCACACATTGTTGAGTTGAAATCCTTAGCTAGACCTACAGAATTAATTGAAAAGATAATGAATCTAATTTGCATGATTTTGGATCCATCTTTTAAAATATAAAAAGATAGCTGGAAGGAATGCTAAAAATATCTAGGTCGTTAAAATTTTTTAGAATTAATTCTAACTTTGGACATTAATAACATAAATGATAAATAATTCTAGTAACTATAATAGGTTGATAGTATTGAATAATAATAAGCAGCAGCATAATCAATAGCTGCAAGCTCAATGCTCAATTTTTTGAAAGCTGTATTAGAAGTAAGATAATCTAAACTTTACATAACATAAAATGCAATTAAATAATTAGAGAGTAAAATAAAGAAAGAGAAACAATTAATTCAAAAGTTAGAAAAGATAATTTAAAGAGAATGAGATTATAATAAAAAAAATATAACATAAATAGTAATAATAGGTGTTTTGTCAATCTCACAACTACAATTTATATGAATCATTTTAGATTGAATTAAATGGCATATTAATTTAGATAAACTGTTTCTAGATTATTATCATTGCTATTGCTATATATATCAATGATTCAGATTTATACTAAACAATCCTATGATAACTAAATGTGTATAATAGTATTAACAAATTTAATTTATAAACTTAAGAGTCCAAATATTTTTTATAGTTAAATATATTAATCTTTAATGTTAAGTTCTAAGGCTGGTGTTGATCATGTGTTACGTTAATTTGCTAATAAGAGAGTATTAATAAGAGTAGATTTCAATGTGCCTATTAAAGAAGGCAAAGTGAAGAATGCTACTAGAATATAAGGTGCTATTCCAACAATCAAAAAGATATTAGAATAGAATCCAAAGAATGTTACATTAATGTCACACATGGGAAGACCAGATGGAAAGAGGTAATCAATTATAATATTAATATATTTTAGAGTTGATAAAGACTCTCTTAAAATAGTTGTTCCTAAATTGGAAGAATTATTAGGCACTAAAGTTAACTTTGTTAATGATTGTGTAGGTTCAGAAGCAGCTGAAGCTACAAATGCTGGAAATGGATAAATTAATTTATTAGAAAATCTTAGATTCCATATCTAAGAAGAAGGAAAAGGTGTTGATGCAAATGGAGCAAAAATTAAAGCAGATAAAGAAAGTGTTAAGAAATTCAGAAAAGAATTATCTTCTTTAGGAGATATTTATGTTAATGATGCATTTGGTACTGCACATAGAGCTCATTCATCTATGGTTGGAATAGATCATAAAATTAGAGTTGCTGGTTATTTAATGAAGAAAGAACTTGATTATTTTGCTAAAGCCTTAGAAACACCTTAAAGACCATTCCTTGTTATTTTAGGAGGTGCTAAAGTTGCTGATAAAATCCAGTTAATTAAATCTATGCTTGATAAAGTAGATGAAATGATTATTGGTGGAGGTATGGCATTTACATTCCTTAAAAAAATTCATAATGTTCCAATTGGAAAATCCCTCTTTGATGAAGAAGGATATAAAATTGTTGATGAAATTCTTACTAAAGCTAAAGAAAAGAATGTGAAAATTCATTTACCAGTAGATTTCATTTGTGGTACAGGATTAGATGCATCTAGTCCTGTTGCATTATATGATCTTAAATCAGGAATTCCAGATGGATGGTTAGGTTTAGATGCAGGATAATTAACATAAAGAGAAAATGCTGAAGCTATTGGAAGAGCTAAAACAAGTTTATATTTTGTAGATTTTAATTTTAGTTGTATGGAATGGACCATAAGGAGCATTTGAAATTGAATAATTCAAGAATGGTTCAGTTAGTATGTTGAATGCTTTAGTTAAATAGACTTCAAATGGTGCTACAACTATTGTTGGAGGTGGTGACACTGTTAATCTTGTTGGAGCTAATAAGGCTAATGATAAACTAAGTCATGTATCAACTGGTGGAGGTGCTTCATTAGAATTATTGGAAGGAAAGATATTGCCAGGTGTTGAATATCTTACCAATATTAAAGATTTATGATAGATATATTATTCATATAATACAATTTAATATCATTAATAAATTAAATGGATAAGCAATTACTATAACAAATCGATCTCATTATGTAAGATAATGTTTAAGGAGCATTGATTGTTGATTAATTTGGATTCCCTTTAGCTAATAAATCATTGAATCCTCAATTAAGCCAATATGTTAAAAATATAGCAGATTGTGCTACAGCTTTAAAAGACTAAGTACCTATCATAGCTATAGAAACTGGTGAATCAAAAACATATGTCATCAAACCAGGATCTAAATTTAGTCTATGCTTGTTAGCTTGAATAATAAATATATATAAAATAAATTGCATTTGTTAATGTTCTCATACTTTAATTATTTTTGACTTCTTTGTCAAGTTCAGGTTCTTTAAAAATTGAATATGTATTGGGAGAAGATGACAATATCTATAGCATCTCTACTTAGTTGAAGACAAAAGTATATGAAATAATTGAAAAAGTGCATACAGAATAGTTAAGCTAAAAATGAAATCTTCAATAAGAATAGCTATTAAAAGAAATAGGGTTAATTTTGGGTAGATATTATCCCCAATATCTTTTAGAATAATATGACATTGAATAATAATAAATACAAAAATAATCTCTTTCTCATTACACCTATAAAGCATCAAATTAAATGACTTATGAAAATATAATTATTAGTAAATAAATTAGAGAATAAGTTAAGATATATAGTAATTATAATTGATAACATTTTCTTATTAAAAACATACAATTTTTATTATTAATTTGTTGAGAGATTTTTTCTAAATATAAAAAGAGAGACTTCTATTCTTTCTAGAATAAAGATAAAATAGCCAGAAAAATAAATAATATATCAACTTTATAAGAAACTAAATTTAATATTATAATTTTATATTCAATTATTTAATTTTCACAATTATTGTATCTGATCTAAAGGAAGTAAATAATAATTATATAATAAATTCATTTTTCATGTAAGTTGTTTATTATAAGATGAAGTAATATCTATATACAAGTATGATATCAATGGCTAATTAAATATTCAATATTTAGAATGGTAAAACTTTGTAATATTTGAATGATTGAGTTAATATAGGTTAATGATATTTCCTGCCATAATATACTTTTTATTTAATTCTTTTTAATGTAACATATATTCTCATAGTAATATTATACTATAAGTTACATTATTTGTCTTTATCAAATTGATTCTATGATTTTTAATTTTAATCAGATCTTTTTTGATTAGTTTAGAATAGAGTTTCATTGAGTATATTTGATAAATTTAATGTCTATAATGTTCATTTAAGTATGGAGAGGGATAATGAATTAAATAGGATTTGAAGCAGATTGTAAAAATTGTATTTTATGTATTAAATAATATATTATCGTTATGAATACACAACTAAAAATATTACAATTCAAGTATGAATTAGGACAACCTAGTCAGTATTATTTCTTGATTGTATCAGGTAAGGAACAATATTTCACAAGTACATTTAAACTTTAACATGGACTGAATGATTTTAGAGACAAGTTCAGTTTATCAGTCTCATAATTCATAGATTTTTAGCTATGGGATTATTGGGGAGATCCAGTCATGAAAGGATTAGGAAGATTAGATATACAAAAGGTTCTTAAAGAACGTAAGGATATGCATATAATATAAATCTGGACAGATGTTAAAGTGGGTGAGCTAATGATTTAACTTATTTTTGAAGAGGAAATGTTATCACTTTAGTCTTCATTAAAAGAAAAATCATCATTTGGTCTTTAGCCGAGTTTTTTGAGTCAACAGGGAGCTTCCTTTTATGATAATTATCTTAATGATAAGCCTTTAGTGTATATGTCAGCTTCACGTAGTACTCAATACAGACCCACTCAGTCCCCGGTGTTATAGATAAAAAAATGATTATTTAATTTTATGGACTAAGAGAGTGTTTTCGATCTATCTTCTTTATCAGATTTTCGATCAGATTAAGGTCTACAATAATTGTATATTGTTAGAGGAAGATCTGAATAATTATAGGAATAAAGCAAATTGGTGAAGGAACACTTACAAAGCTTAAATAATGAAAATAATGGAGGCTTCACTAATCCTTTGAAATCTTTGGTTAGTAAATAGAAGAATAGATTCATTATGGATGGGTTTGATTTAGATTTGACATGTACATTTTTAAACTTAAATTCCAGACATCACTGAATAAGTGATTGCTATGGGGTTTCCAGCAATAGACTATGAAGCTATTTATAGAAATTCTATGGAAGACGTTCAAAGGTTTTTCAATTAGAGACATAAGAACCATTACAAGATTATTAATTTATGTTCAGAAAGAAAATATGATCATGCTTACTTTGATGGTAATATTTCAGAATATCCCTTTGATGATCATTAAGCACCTTAATTTCATATGATTTATGAATTATGTGCTGAAATCCACAATTATGTAACCTAAGATAAATAGAATGTTGTTGCTATTCATTGTAAAGCAGGCAAAGGTAGAACAGGAATAATGATTTGTTGTTATCTTCTTTTCTCAGAGTTGTTTAAAAGTAGCTTTGAAGCAATGAGATATTATGGCATGATGCGAACTAAAAATAATAAAGGAGTTACTATACCTTCTTAAATCAGATACATATTATATTTTGAGAAGGCTCTCCAAATGGGGTATACAGTTCATGATGTACCTTAACCTAAAATTTAAATTTTATAAATTCGCCTTATTACTATACCATCAATGAATTACTCAAATTCATGCAATCCTTATATTGTCATTCAAAATTATCAAAATTAAGCCACTTTCACTAAATTTCAAATTGTAAATGATAGTTTTATTTTATTTACTGTTGACATAATAGTTTAAAAAGATACACGTATTATTTGTTATAATAAATCATTGATGGGCAAAGAAGTTATGTTTTAATTTTGGTTTCACTCTGGCTTTATAGAATCTAATGGATTATTAGTTATTGATAAGTATATGCTAGATAGAGCAGTTAAAGATAAAAAACACAAGATTTTCTCACCCAACTTTAGAGTGGAAGTACAAACTATTACACTACCAAATTGATTTTTACTATTTATTAATTATATAATTTAATCACTAGTTTTTATCATCTAGAATTCCTTATCTTCTGAATTTTAGACTCTCAATTCTAATGTAATTGATAACAGTTATATATTGAATTAAATATTTGGTAGATGTGTAACAATCAAAACTTATTACAAAGAGAGAGACCCTATTTTATGAATTATCACATTAATCCAATATAACAAGAATTAATTCAATCAATTGAAAATTGTACTTTTAATATATACTAAAATACTATAGAGGTGAAATTAATAGAAAAGATTGTGTAATTATTATTCTATGCATGAATCAGTCTATTGTAAATAAAATAAATTCAAATTCATTTTTATTTTAAGAATTATAATATTGATTACTATTAATCATTTATAGTATTAAGTAAATTGTAATTAAGAGTTTTATTCACTAGGACATCAAATTAGAATTGAAGTTAATAAAATAAAGAAGTGTTTAAATAAATATAGGGTATGAATAAAATTTTTTGATGGATCGCTCTAATGATTTTCAAATATCTATTTGATAAGGAAATATGAAAATTGTTTATTTTTAATATGGAATTATGAGAATTATGAGGAATAAATAAAATAAAATTACAAAAGAATTATATTAGATTTAGATTGATAAATGAGACTTTAGATTTTGGTTTTTCTAGGCCAAATTTAATTAGAAATGAGACAGCCAATTCTATTTATAGATGAATTTTTAATAGAATTTCTTAATGAATTTATCTATATATATATAAAAATTCTAATTATAATTCAAACATTATAACTGCAATCTTAATATAAAAGATTTTAAATAATTTTAGAAAATATATTCTAAGATTTTGGAATATCAAAGTAGTTTCAAGATATGAATCTTTAGATTTTTATTCAAATTACTAAATACAGATATAGATTTTGATTTTTTTAATTATATATATATGTGTATATTATTTAATTTCATTCTTCTTCAATGCCTAATAATCTTATAATATCTTTGCTATAACAAATCAATTTTTAGGATTTCAAAGACTCTTGTAAGTAATTTTCAATATGAGTTGTTTTGTGATATGTCTTCAAACTAAAGTAATTAACATAGTTTCGATTCTTAATAAAATAATCAAAATCTCTTATAATTTATTGATTAAATTCTTTAATATTATTAATCTTATGATTGATAAGTGTGATTAGAACAGTAAAAAATTTTGGCAATCTATCTTCAATTTTACATTTTACTACTTAATCAATATAATGAATTAGATATTGATAATGATAAGCTTCACATTATTATTTAAGGAAATCAATTGGAATTTCCCAATGCTTCAAGTTTCTACCTATTTCTGGAATGAATAATTTCTCTTTGCTAAATATAATGATAGTTCTCTTTAATTTACAACTTGATTCATTAATTCTATATCCTCCATCAATACCATCATTTAAATTCTATTCTAATAATTCTTTATCTTATTAACTTAATTTATGTGTATATCGAACTAAAACAATTCTAGGATTCCTTTAACATTCTGGAAATGTAAGTTTATTAAGTCCAATTACAATTTCTTTTCCATTTAGATGAATCATGGCTGTTAATAAATCAATTAAAAATTGACTTTTATCAAGAGATGAACTGAATGCATTAATTACAAGACCTGATGTCGATTGAGTATGTAATAGATTCATTAAATACTTAATATTGCCAACCTTTTAACAGGAAGCTTTCCCAATTGATCTACTAAATTAATAGATTCCATATAGAAATAATGTTTATTCATTAAATAAATCTGTTATATCAGAAAAGAGAGGAAAGTAGAATTGTTCTCCTCTTTGAATCCTAGCAAAATTTAATTGAACAATTGGCTATTTAATCATATTCAAATAGATTTTTTCATAAAAAATACAATTTCTAGTAATACAATTAGAATCTCCATTTAATTATAATAATATTCGATTTGCAGCCTTACATTCTTGTATGATATTAGAATTTAAATAGAATTTATCATAATATTATAAGGATTCTATAGCAATACATACTTTAAGTTCTTCAGGAATTTATTATTGAAGTGTATTTTCTAGTAAACAAGTACAAGATATATAATATACAGGATCTGATGCAATAGATGTATTTAGTAATTAGGGTTGTTCAATGACAAATTCAATTTTTGGTAAAATCATAATATCATCATCTTCATCTAATAAAATAGTTTAAGGAACCTTTTATTATTATGTTCCATTTTTCTACATTTAATTTAAAGAATATTAAGGTTTTTCATTTTTAATAGCATATTCATCCTTTTTCATTTTAACTATGTCTTATTTTTATTTACGAGTAGCATCATGTAATTCAATTAAAGAGGTTCTTACTTTCAACATAGTATCTGATAATATATGTCCACATCTTCTAAGAAGTTTAAATTTTCTCTCAAATGACTCTTAATCTGAAGGAGGAGGAAAATAATTTTTAGGAACCTTTTAGTAATTTTCTCCTTTAGAAGCAGTATTAAGTCTTTTAAGAGTTGCTTAAAAACTTACAGATTAAGATAAATCAAGGACATCTTCTGCTTTACGAACAATTTCATTTAGTCTTAAATATAAGTGTTCTAATGTACGATATATCTCATCATTTATATGATCTGGTAATAATTGTTCTGTTTACATTGTATTTTTAATTAATAATCATTGACTCTTAAAAATTTGAGTTATATTAATTTTAAAAAATCATTAAAATAAATATATCACTACTCAAATTTTTCATTTTCATCTTCACTTTAATATTCTTCTTCTTCTTCATCCATTTCATCAATTTCATCATGTTATAATAATCCACCATATAATTTAATCAATTCTTCAGAATCTTCTCTTTCATCAAAGATCAATTGAAATTTATTATTTTCTAATAAATTATCATAAAAAATAAGATGCTTTTTACAAGGTGGCCATATATTTGCATCTGGTGGTGGTATTATTGTATCAATTGATAATCTCATAGCATTTTCAACCATTTAAGGTATTATTCTCTATAAAACTGGACTACTAGTTTCCAAACATGGATTTGTATTTATTTCAATTAAATATGGTTTGAATTATGAATCAATCATAAAATCTAATCCAAATATTTCAAAATTAAATTCTTTTTTATGTGGAGCCAATTTACAATATACAGATTTTATACTGATTGTGGCAATCTCTATTAATTAAGGATATAAATCTTTATAAAAATTATATTTCTTTGGTTAATTCTCTAAATATCTCTGAAATTCAGACAATGATAATTTATTACCATTTTCATATTTCCCATAAGTATCAGCATATTTTTATATAGCATCATTTGTTAAATGGACATATAAATTTGCAGGATCATCTAGATCAAATTCTTCAGATGATGTTCTGATATATCCATCTTCATACCAATATGCTCTAAATATATTATTTAATTGGGTAATAAGAAAGTAACACCTGATATCAAATTTCCTTTTATTATAGAGGAATGGTTTCTCAATGTATCTCTAAATTAAATAAGTAAATGGTTTTCCATTTTGATGAACTTGTTTTTTACTTATAATTTTATTTATCTCATTTAAATTTTAACAAACCATAATTCCTGTTCCTCTATTAGTAAATTCACCAGGTTTGACTATCCAAGTAGAGCCTCTAGATAGTAAAATAATAATACTTTGGCAATTTTTTATAATGTTCTAGAAATTACAAATAAACCTTATCTCTAGATCCCTTTTACACATGAAATGTTATAGGTATTATGGAATGTAAATCTTATTTAGTCAATTCATAATATCTTTTAAGATTGTGATATAATGCTTTTTTATTACCTAAATGATAATTCTTTTCTATATGATTATGAATCTAAATTTATAAAAGATATGATTTACTTTTAAATTTTAATGCACTTTTAATATTGTAAATCCTTTTTGATTTATTAATTTTAAGTACGATTTTTAATTTCTTTCAATTTATTTATAATCAGAATCATCATTCATTAATCTAAACAATGGATCTATTTATATTTTCTTCTTTATTTAAGTTTATGATTAAGGTTGATTGATTTTCTTTCTCATTAATGATTTAATTTCATTACTTGATGCATTTTGAGTATCCATATAATTTTATACTTTTATTTATGTCCAAATAAAATTGCTATCAGAATCAATTAATTCACTATATTTATAAAAGTTCCACCACCATCTTAATTTAAATACTTCTTTAATTAATAGAGAATTATTTCCTCTTCCTATTTTAAATTTCAAATCAATCATACAATCTTATGGTAATGTATAAAATCCACTTTAAGTGGAAACCAAAAATAAAAAATGTTAATAATTTTACAATTTTGTTTAGAATAATTATTCTCTAGATAATGATGAATATTCAGTTAATGAAAATTTAAAATTGTTACTTTAAATTTATGTTGTACTACTTTATGGAGCCATAATTTTTGGTGGTAATGGACTTGCATTATTATTATTAAAATTAATAGAGTGTTTTTATTTTGTTTTTTGTGGAACTTTACATTTAATTTTCTTCTCTATTTCTTCTATAAATGATTATGATTTATCTCTTTCTTTATCTTGAGACAAGGCCTTTTGTCTAATTGTCTGTTAAGTTACTATAGTATTTTATTCCATTAATTTATTAAATGGAATTACTTATAAACCCATAACTCCCATTGCTTTTTCTGCTTAAACTTTATGTTACATTCCTTATAAAATACTCGTTAGAATTTATTTAGTATTATTAATATCAGATGGATAAAATCCTTTAGTGATTCTTACTTAACTGCTTTTAGATTCTTCAATCTAATCACAATTACTTGTTTAGACCTTCCTTTTATCTCTTTTTTGAGGGGCACTATTAGTAAAAACTACACTGTATGTACCTTGAGTTTAAGGTTCTTATGAAAGATTTCTTTGTATGGTAATAGCTAGGATAACAAAGTAAGAAATTAAGTACCTTACTAAATTCTTTAAACTGGTTTACGAGGAAGACTTGGTCGTCGATATGATATTTTTTAATTGGATAGTTATTCTTTTGTGAGTTCAGAAAATTTAATACTACTCTTTTTATTATTAAGTTGATTGATTTTTTATTAAATAGTCAGTCCATTATTAAGCTTTCTTATAGGTGGAGTTCTTAAATAGATTTCATCTTTCTGCATTATTTTATTATGTTTTTATTATTAACTATTAATTTATAAAATAAAACAATCATTTTCTCCTATTATAATTAAATAATATATGATGTTCTTCAAGTAAGATTTTATAAGTTGTATTGTTTAAGCTTTTAACGTTTCTTTGCTGGTTTTGGTTCAGTGTTAGACCCTTTATTGTCTCAAGAAAACTGTACATTGGAGACTATTCTTGATGAAGACACTTTACAAGAAATCAAATTGAATGGAGCAATAAAATTTGGAAATTTGTAATAATTTTTGATTTATTAGAGTGTTACAAAGAATATAGAAACATTTAGTAAGATGATAGGATACTTGTGTGTAAATGAGGAAGAAGAATAAAACGAAAAGACTTAGATTAGGTATAATGATTTAAGTTAAAAATCATAAGATACCCTTTCATGATTAGTGAAGCAATAGGAAATGAGAATGGTCCGATCATAGATTATCTATTCGAAGCAGATAAATCAATTTAAAATTATGAGTTAAATGAAGAATATAGACAACAATTTTTACCAAAGATTTTCGATATTTTAGATAAGGATTACTTGAATGTGACTCTTGCCAGTTATTTATCTAAAGTAGTATGTGCAATCATTAGAAGAAGAGGTTATGATGTATTAATTATACATAAACTTATAAGCTATGGAGATTTCTTTCTTAGCCAGAACATAAATCAATTTTAAGTAATTTAATAAAGAATTTGGATGTATTCCATGTTGCTGAAATTATTGAAAAATTAATTATATTAGACACAAATCAAGAATTATAAGACAATCAAACTAATTTCTTAGAAGAAAGAAGTGAATTCTTACGTCGAATTATTCGAGTATTCGAATATAAAACTCATCAAAATGATATCACTGATAATTGTAGTCACATCTTTAATGAAATTCTAAATAAATCAGAATAGTTTCTATCAGTACTTAATATCCCTGAAAAATTATTTGCAGTAGCAGTAAAATCTTCAAAAATATTCTAAGTTAAATTCAAGTTCAGCTGCTGTAGTTTCAGTCTTAATTACATTAATAGAAGCCATTCATCGTTATGTATAATAGTAATAAGAGAAGAATCCTTCTTATTAATTTAGTTATAATTTATTCTATCCAATTGCTTAAGAATTCAAAAATGCCTTGTTAGCTGAAAAAATATCAATTAGTAATCTCAATTTTATATTCAAGGTGCTTTTAATACTACATTTGGAATATTATAATAGCCATTTAGTTAGATGAAATTGAAATTGTTACAATTGTATCTATCCATTTTAAGAATTAATAATATTGAATTAATCAGTTAATTTGATCATAAAGGGATTTATTAATCTCTAATGAAATTTATTATTGAATATGAATTCAATAATCAATTGCAAAATTACTTTTATGAAATAACAGTATTCATTTTTGATAGACCTCAATTTGAGAGCATACAAGATGATTTCTTATCATTAGATATTACATCATTTATTATGAAAAATAATAGATATGAAAAGGAAAATATTGGAGCTTTGAATTCTAAAATAAGAAGAGGTTATGTAGGTATTTTAAGTAAATTGGCATATTATTTCATTAATAAATTTGAAAAGAATTAAGAATGGAATCAATATGTTGAATAAGTACTTGAATCTGTCAGAAATATTGAAAATTAATATATGTTAGGAGTTAATCCAAGACCTAAGATTCCTATAGATACAAATGATGATGGTATGACTGAAATGTTTAGAGTATTATAATTAATATATATTCTTAGAACTTTTCTAAAATGAAAATATCTTAAAACAATCCATAATAATAAGTTTAATAATAAGATCAATAATAAACTGTAGAAGTAGAAGAAGAAACAGAAGAACATGATGCTGATGATGCAGATGATAATTTTATGGATAATCAGAAAGAAGATGATGAAACAGAATAATTTTAAGATGTAAATTCAAAGAAACCTGAGATGTTGATAGATGTAGATGAATTTGAAAAAGTTATCAATAGTCCTGAAACCAGTCCTAAAGTTGGTAATCCAAACATTCATTTATATTAGTTGAATAAATTATTTAATTTTAAGAGTAAAACTTAAAGACATCTCCTTAAGCTAGTGAAATTCTTACTGATTAAACTGTTAATAAATATTGGAAGGCACATGAGGGTTAAGAACATCAAGAACCAGGTAGAAAGGGTTCATAAGATGATATCCATAAACATTAATCTGAACATCATGAATAAGTTAAACAAGAAGATACATCAAAGGATAATTAAGATAAACATGAAATAGAATAGTAAATTTAACCTCAAGAAAATTTGAAAGTTGAAGTTTAGTAAGTATAAGTGGAAGAAATTGATTCACCTGAAGTAAAATATCCATAATAATAATAATAAGAAGATATATAAGAATATTAATAAGTATAAGAATAAGAAGAAGAAGAATAAGTATAAGAATAATAATAAGAATAAGTATAAGAATAATAAGAATAATAATAAGAATAATAATAATAATAATAAGAATAATAATAATAAGAATAAAAAGAAGTATAAGAAGAAGTAATCAGTTGATTCCATTATTAAATAAAAAACATACATTTATTTATGTTATCTTGTAAAATTATAACCTATTAATTAATATTAAATCTAAGAAAACTGATAAATTCTTTATTCTCAGTTTTATTATTTCAACTTTATAAGCAAATTTTTTATTAAATTCAGTAGTATTATTTAATTATAAAATTAATTTATGAAAAATTCTTCTAGAATAAAAAATACTCATCAGATTAATGATTGTTGGGCTGCATTATTTTGTGGAATTATAGAAGTTCTTATTAGAACTAATTAACATGAATAAATAGCACTTCTATAACCGAATATTAATCAATATTCCCTTTCAAGAATCAAAATCTTTAAGACTATTGAATTAATGAACTAAATTATTAGAAATCCAAATGTTGATCTCTTTTATACTCTAGTCAATACAGAAGAAGCATCTTAGGTAATGAAAATATTTATACAAATATAATACAATATAATTCCTACATCAGTTTGTAAAAGAGAAATTCTAGAACTCTTAAGTAATACTTTTAAAATAGATATTGTATTTATTACTCAGAATACATCTATATCATTGGCAAATAGTGATAATTTAGAATTAGTTTTAAAAATAGTTTAATAATAATCTTAATTTATAATAGAAGCAGGATAGAAATCTAGAAGTAGATCATCTTCATTATTGGATTATGTTTTAGAGATGAAATAAGAATGTAATGGATGTTTAAGATTGTTTGATTAAGGAGAATTGTATAAGTCTCTTACTTGTAATCATACTTATTGTAGATAATGTTTGAAATTTTATTTTAAACTTGGATAATCATTTATATGCAAAGATTTCTTTTGTTAATTAGAATTAAAAAGAGAAGACTTTCCATTTTTATAATTGTCTCCTTTATAGGATATGAGTGCTTTATAAAATAGATGTCTTTAATGCAAAGAATCTATCAATTAATTATACACAAATAAGTGTGGACATACACATTGTGAATAATGTATTAAAGATCAATTAAATAAATCTAAATTATATTAAACTAACTTTTGTTTAGAACCATCCTGTACTGAATTATTAACAAATGAATTAATTAATAATTAATCCATAAATAATGATATTTAAATGGTTCTGTCAAGGAATAATTCAATAGCATAAAAAAATACAGAATTTTGTTATTTTTGTTAATCTTAATAAGAGAAGGGTGTAAAAGGAGAGTGTGGACATTACTTTTGTAAATTGTGTTTAGATTCTAAATTTTAATATATTATTACTTATGGTTTAAATAGAAATATAGATTGTCCATTCTGCTCAACTAAATTTAATATTGAGAAAGCATTAGATGAATATTACAATTCATTAGTATCTTTCTAACCCCCTAAATTAAAAAGGATGAGATCTAATTCAGAATAATAATAAACAGAATCCAAATAATAGTAGTTATTTTAATAAAAACCATCTTTTGAAAATTTGTAGACTAGTAAAAATTCTACTTCTTCAGCTTTACCATAAAATCGTTAAAGAAATTAAATGCCATTTATAAATGGAGTTTCAACTCCAAAAAGGGTTGTTAATTCTTCAAATACTAATAGAAACAGTCAAAATTTTAATAAATAGGCTTAATTCTTTTAGAGAAGTCCATAATTCTTTTGATTAATTGTTTTATATATATATAAATATGTATTTTAGATATATTTTAAATTAAATTAATTTTTACATATGAATAAGGAATAAGATGATTAGGAAAGATAACCAATACTAATTGAAAAAGATAATTAATATTTCGATTGGGAATCATTTAAAAAATAATATTATCAATAAGAAAATATATTATAGACAGCTTTGAAATCATTAAATGAATTACATAGTGATATTTCAAGAAAATTAATTTAATTAGAGTATGCAATATTTGTAGCATTATAGTAAATCAGATCCAATTTGTGAAGAAGATGAATAAGAGAATAGAAAATAATTTCAATCTATAGATATTAAAAAGTATTAAGATTAATTTGATGATTTAAATTTGATTATGAGTACAATGTCTAGAATGCTTAATGAATATGCAATTAGTCCAGAAGAAGTCTAAGCAAAATTAAAGAATAATATGTTAAGAAGATTTAAAGAAATACATTAAGAACATGATAAAGAAGTTTTAAAATTGAAAGTACTAACTTGAAAGCATTAATAGTAAGCTATGAAAACAAATATCTAAAAATATGAACTATTTAAGGATGCAATCAAAAACCAAAATACTTAAGGAAATTAAAAATATAAAAGAGATTATTAACTTAATGATTTTCTCTCAAGAGGAGTTAATTAAGCATCTCATGTACTCGATATGGCTTCAACAATTCATTCAAGTCTTGAAGATTAAGGCTATAGGGTATCCTCTATATAAAATAAAGTTACTGAATATATGGGTATGTTATATTTTGATCAATAGGATAATTTGAAGGAATTAACTAATTGATTAATGGTATAAGGTATCATAAAAATAAGGGTTAAATACTATTGATGGGTTTAATAGCATTATTAGTTGTGATAATTTTATTTAAATTGATGTGAAATAATTTATCTATTAAAAATTGTAAAGAAGTAAAAGTATCTAGAATATTTTATTAGAAATTTAGATTAACATAAAAATTGATTCTAATCTTATGACTTAATCAATTATTATATTCTTTTATGAAATCTTCTTATTTTTTATTACAATCTATATTGTGTTTCAATTATAAATCTATAAATAATATTTATACATTTATATTCTAATAAAAAGGTTCATATTAGATATAATAAAGTTGCATATAAGGAATAAATTCAAGAAATTGTATTTTAGAAGAATTAACAAAAATAATATTAAAATTTATATTCAATCATAATCATTTGCAAGTCAGTTAAGAATTGTAGATCTAATATTTTATTATAGTATAATTTAATAGTAGTCATTAAATAATATGGATATATTGAAAGTTTACAAATAATTAAACATATGAAAATTCAAATTTAATTTACATAGCATAAAATAAAAAATAACTTAGACTCATTTAATAAAATAAAAAAGGATTAGTATTTCAAATTTTTTATTTGAGTTTATATCTATATGAGAAAGACTTTATGATATAATGGAATTTTCTTTAATTAAAATAAAATTCTTCTAAAAAAAGTTCTTGTTAGATAAAGAAGAAAATAAAAATTGTATATTAATTATTAACATCACTTTTAATTCTAATCTTCTAAACGAGGTATTACAATTAATTTAAATTTATTGGTACCATCAATGTTCCCGTTTTTCCATACTATCAAGCTGTCTTTTATAATTGTCTAAAACTTCTCCTTAATTTTTTTTATTTTTTCTTTATCAGCTTTTGTATAATGTAGTTTCTCTTATAAAAACTCAATAATTTCTTTCCATAATTGATTTTTAATTTAATCTAAATCTTATTCTTTAATATATTCCCTAATTTTTTTCTAAATCAATTAGTAAAGAGTAATGACAAAATACAAAATATTTATTATGAATAAACAAATAATAGCAGCTAAACTAATACTATTCAAATTTTGTTAATCAGAGAGAATATATAAACAACATGATATAATTATAATAGAATTAGATAGATTTTCCTATTGATTATTAAAACTGGATTTATAAGGATAATTTTCTCTTAAATTGGTTAATTAATATTGAGATCTAATCATAATCAACAAATAGAAAATAGGGATAATTAGAACCTAAATATTTAATATATTTCTTACTAAATTTTTATTTAAGGAAATTATGATAAAAATTATCAATTTAGCTTATCTAAATATGAATTCAAAAATTAATGCACTTTCAGTATAATAAGAGTAGTAACTTCCCCAATTTTTTAAAACTCTTAATTTGCCATCTTCACTCTAAAAATAAAAGTAATAAAAGCAAATAAATATTATAATAGGTGTGAAAATGATCAAAAATATAAATATCAATAAAATATTATATTTCCAATTTTCATTACCTTCAAATAGATAAGATACATTTGCATAATTGTATTTGTCTCCAGATATAATACGATAATTTGTTAATTGAACTAATTCTATTAAATAGCTAGGTTAAATATAAATGAAGAATAATAAAAAGAAAATTTAAATTGAAAAGAAATTTTACTTTCTTTTAAATATCATTATTGTTAATATACATCCAACAATCAAGGTAATAAATGAATAGATTAAAATTAAATAAAGATCATCTTCAATATAGCATTATAAATGTACTTTCAAATTTAATGCAGGCATTGAAATAGAATTAAAAGCAATAAAATTCGAATATTAAGTATTATCTAAATTATTAGATCTCAAAAATGATAATGTTTACATATGGTATATAATTATTAATAAAACTTAAGGATACATCTATTAATTTTGTTCAATTTTTGAACTTTTAAATGATTCTAGAAAATTCAACATAATATTTCTAATTCTAATTGCTATTGACATATGACCCAATAATAACAATATTGGAATTTAAATCAAAATCAAAAATATATTTAATAAATAAATTTAAGGGTCCTTACATAATTAGCAATCAGAATTCCAATTTTTAAAATAACTCTATTCCCAAAATATCATATGAATATCACATTCTTCACACAAAGCTCCAATCGAACCTAAATTACAAAGTTCATTTCCAACTTAATAGTTTCCTATGCATTTTTACTTCTAGCATGATTCCACTTAATCATTATTAATTTCAGGCCTCCAATAATTATCAAATAACTATATTTTGTTTTCATAAGTATTTTTCATTTTAACCCAATCTTTTTCCTTACAATAATTAGAATTCAATTCTAATGTATAGAAATTCTATGAACATTTTATACACTTAAATTATTATTCAGCATAATATTCACCAAATTCACAAAGTATTGGTAAAAATTTTACAGTTAATTAATATTCATTAATTTAAAATTTTCTAAATGAATAAGGATATTCATCTATATAAGTAGGTTATTATATTTTAGTACTTTTGAAAGTGATGTTAATTTATCTTTAATTGTTTGGATCATAACAAATTATTAGATCAGAAATATTAAATCCTTAAATTTTATTATTAAATTCCCTATATGTATAGTTATTAAATAAAGAAATTTCACAATTACTAGGTTCATTTTATGATTCAAGAGAAGTATTATGAGATTGATTGCTTAAATGTTATGAATCTAATTATAAATCTAAAATTGATGGTTCTTAATACTTAAGTATTTGGTTTTCATCATCTAAGAATTAAATAATGATATTTTAATTTTTATAAGAAAGAAGAGGATATCCGCTTCTTATTATTACAGGAAGTAAAATTAAATATTTTTCATTGCTCAAATTGGCAATACTTTATTCAACTCCGTTAATTGTCATTATCAAACTTTAAGGATTTGAATTAATATTATTTCCAAATAAAATAGCCTCATTATTTATGATTTAATTTTGAGTTTTACTTAAATTATTAGTATATACTCCATAAACTGCTATACATCCACCTATTGAAGCTTTATTATTGTAACAATTGCATTAAGCAATATTGATTCTTTATTTATCTTTAGATAAAAAATAGATAAATCCTCCTTAACCTTTAGCAGTATTTTAAGTAATATATGAATTAGTAACATTTGTTGTTAATTCATAAACATATAAACCACATCCATGAAAACAAGTATTATTTTCTATATATAATTATTAAATTAAAACATGGGCTGCATAAGGTGGATCAGGAATAATATATTAATAATTTTTTTCATCTTTTAATAGTCTCTATTCAATATTTTATTCTTAAAATAAATCTGATGAAGGAATGATATTTGTTTAATTAATAATTGCTTCTCTACTCAAATTGCTTATTATCTTAAAATTATACAATTTATCTTAAACAGTCTAAATCTTAAGATTATAATCAGATGTTATTGCTATACAACCATAATAACCTGTATGTGTATCTGTACATCTAAATTATTCAATATGAATTAATTCAATTAATAACATATTTGAGACTCTAATTATCTAAACTAATCCATAAATACATTCTTAACATTCTATTTTATTTATTAAAATATTTCTAAGAGTCAAATAAGTTTATGGTGTTATACTATCAAATCTTATTAATGATGTTTGAATATTAATTTAAGGGTAATCCACTCTTATCTAAAGTATTTTACATCTCCAATCAATTAATTTTGAGTTACATTTAATATTTTCTAAACTTATTGAAGATATATTGGCAATCTTAACTGTCTCTAAAAGAACAGGATTGATAATTGGTTCTATAATTTCTATTAAAGGATTATAAATCACTATTTAATCTTGAACAATTATTGAAGATAGTTTTATAAATGATGGATATTTTACAGATAAAAAACCTTAATATAGTTAACCTTATTATATAATATTAATTAAAATTATTTCTCCAAAATCTTATTCAATAGAAGATGTTCTTATTAAAAACTTATATTTCTCTAATTCTTTTAATACTCCTAATTAATTAAAAAACCTTTCTTATTTAGATTGATTAGCTTGAATATCAATATTAATCATTTTAGTTTATTGGATTTATTTTTAATTTTAATCATAAATAACCTTCAGTATATTTCCACTTAAAGAGAAACAATTATAAAAAGAAGTATCTTAAA